TTTGGTTTTCTACAGTGTGTTTTAGGAGTTTTCACCCGAACTGCATAACTATATTAAATAGCTAAATAAAAATAATGCACAGGCATAAATTTTCATGAGAAGTGCAATTTATTTTGCATGTTTTTTATGTTTACAGGTTGAAATGTTTCAGTGCACTCCTACCGCCAAAGTTTTGTTATCGTTATATTGGTATTAAACTCTGAAAATGAAACAAATTAAACCAGTTTGTATGGGTTATAAAGGTAATAGTGACACCAACTATTGAAAATATTTTGTTCGAATGAAGATATTACTATTTAGTAATTAAGAATGATTGTTTAGAAGGTGTACTTGTTCTCTGCAAGAAAAAAACCTAATGATAATGTCCTTGCTGCAATTGCATTATTTCTTCTTTGATAATCCTAGGTCTATTTAGAATATTTAGCTTAAACATGATGGCAGCTGTGGATTATGTGCCCAACTATATAAGGATTTTTAACTGTTTGTGTGTACTCAGTGTTGCTAAGCAAATTTTTAGTGTGGGAGCCTCTTTTTCGCCACCGGGGAATAGTAATAGTTATGTAGCATTTTATTCCGTGGTTGTAGTGACAATTTATAGAGTTTGTGGCCATTTGGCAATTGTCTAATACCATAGGGAAAATCTAGGTTAACACCGATGCATGTAACATTTGGAGGGGAACGAGTACACATTGAGTAGTAACGTACCCAGGATTTCAAAAAAGGGGGGTGCTAAAGTATTAAATTCTAGTTAATATAAAATATACTGCATAAAATCGGATAATAGTAGAAGCGATATATAAATAAATACCGGTAACAAAGATTTTGTTCAAATTATGGACTTTTCTTGAAAATTAATGCTTGTTGTATAGTAGTAAACATAGTTTACTATCTATTAATTTACTATTAGGGCCTATATGAAATGGGGTAAATCTTCTATGAGGATATCGATTACTGGATGAAATCCATATTACTTGATCGTAAACACGCAATGCCTACACAATTAATGACACAAGATGTAGTGTAAAGCATAGAGAAAATAGAATCTGTTCTATTTTCTCTATGTGTAAAGCCACGCTTCCCAAACTATGGGACACTACCCAAAAGTGGGTCGCGAGCTTTTGGACTTTGGGTCAGTCAGGTTTGGGCCACACAAAGTATTTTTTTTTCAGTTAATTATAAGTCTCGAATATTAAAAGTCTAACTACTGGCGAAAGGGACCATAATCAGTGGCGGATTGATTATGGTCCCCACACACACACACACACAAACCCCTCACCCCCACACAAGTTTTTGAAAATTAAAAATCATAATGGAGATAAAAAGAAAATTTTATTCAAATTCAGGACTGAGAGTGCCATTTCCGGTCATTTAGAGGTGCCATAATCATAACATGTCTTGCCTCACCCCAAAACATGGTGGGACTAAGGTGGGTAGGCCCTCTATCAGTAAAATGCCCTCTCTGGGCACACTCTATGACGAATTCCTGGATCCACCACTGATAAATAGTGGGCAAAAATCGATGTAATAACAATGTCGAGTAGTCATTTTTAAAACATGAGCATCAAATTTCGGGGATCTTATAAAATCGCTGAGCAATTTACTATTAAATTATTAGGTGGGTCGAGGCTAGTCATGGAAATCACAAGTTAGGTCTTAAAGAAAAAAGTTTGGAAAGCGGGGGTGACGTGTAGTAGTGTAACCTTTAAAAAAAATCTGAAAACCGCTCAAAAAAGCTAAATATTTCACCCAGTTTTTTAGGCACAAAGAGTATTCCCGGACCCACAAGGATTTTTCTTCACTGGACCGCACCTCGATGACCCCTCTGCTGATAGGACTAATTTCGGGTGAGAATATTCAGTAAGTTGTTAAGCATTAATAACTATGAGGTGCTATTGTCTTATCGTTGTGTTTACTTTCCTTAAACAGAAAATAAGGTTTGTTTGTATCGTTATCGGTTCGGGTTGATAAAAACCTCTGCCAGCCTCATTTCGACACCAGTCGTGAGCTTGCTACCTCCTACGCTAAAGGTAAGTTGATTCTAATTAGTTTTTGAAATGCGAGATTTTTATTTTTTCTCTCTAGACAAATTAATTTAACAAATGGTTGACGCACAAGCATGTATTGGAGCGCCTTTATTGTGAGCGGATAGAGAAGCTTTTAAAATGGTCAAGAAAGTCGTTAGATTTATTCAAATGTTAGGCCTAATTGTTAACGAAGGAAGTATTATTATTGTTATTATTATTATTATTTTTATTATTATTATTATTATTATTATTATTATTATTATTATTATTATTATTATATAGCGCCTTTTTTGTAGATACAAAGCGCTTCTTTTCCCTGGTCATTGGGTCCACATGATTACATGTTGCTGCTGGTAGTTAGCGCAGAGGCAGACAACCCCACCATGTACCCATTTATACTAAACCTTTAATCAAAGACCACTTTTCTGTTGCCCCGATTGAATGATAACCTTTTAGCTGTTTTCTCCATTTAACGACTTCCTCAAAGACAACGGTTTAGCGGACTCAACCGAAAATTTCACCCCCAATTAAAGATCACTATAAAAAATATTGCGATTTTAATGCATTTTTTTCTCTATAATAATTTTAGAACTTACACATAAAAATATTCTCGAATGCATATCATACGATGGTTGTGTAGGCATAGGCCTACAGTGTTTTGTGACGATAAGTGTCGTTGGGTAAAGAGGAATATGTGGCTTGAACTCTGGCCACTATGCTATTAATAAATAACAGCATGCAGACGTAATTGCACATCCATTTCAATACATTTAATGTATTACTTCTTAATTTCGCTCTAAAAAGTAGAGAAATCTAAATTCCACATTAAGTGGCAATAGGGGTCCCGTCTCCTGTAGAGTCACATGATGGAGTCAGGAAATCGGCGGGGAAGCCTCCCGTGACTCCCGCGAGCAAACTGATGTCATGGAAACTAAACCTCATTTAAACAGATCTTCTAGATGTGGATTTTTCCATCTTTGGACCCCTGACAGCTGGTCTTTAAAGGGATTCCAATAGACACCAAAGACCATGGTTGTTTGCAGACCAAAACTGAAATTCTAAAATATATAGTGATTTTAGTGCAGTTCTCTTTTTACAGACACAGACATTAAAATGAAATACATCAAAAGCCAATGTTTTGTGTATACAGTGCTACAAGTTTTTTATTTTATTAATTAAATGAATAAATAAATGTTTAGAGCTCAATCATTTATTACACGTTTTATTGGCTTAAAATGGTGGATGTTTATAAACCTCATAAATTATATTATATTTAAATTTATATACTTATTTTAAACTAACCCCATATAATTCATTTATATTGAACAGCTGCTGAACTTTCTCATAACACTTTAACAATACTCTTAATTTAGCTACTCCAAAATATTTTTTTCTAAATTTAGAATTGTTTTAAACGAGAATTATGGAATGAGGTTTCATTTGATATTCGAAGTATTATTTATAAACATTTATAAAATAACACTTAAACAGTTAATGGATGTTGTCTCTAAATTATGGTTTTGCTTCTTTTCTAATATACATTTGGTTAATGTGCCTTTTTGATTTTAATTGTATTGTCGTTGTATTTCATTGAAACTCATATTTCGAATTTTTTATTATCCTTTTCATTTTTTTTTTTTTTTTTTGGCAATAGGCCTTAAAGTTGAAAGTAATTAAGGTCAATTCGACAGGAAATCTAGGCCAGGTATAACACTCAAGATCGGAGCGTACGTAATCCTAAGCTGAACAACCTTCAAATTCGCACTGGTAACTAATAAAGGTAAGCCTATCAATTTGTAAAGTACACATAGTGTAGTAAAAGACAAACAAATTACGCTAAAGTTTCTGATTTCCTTAGTGATAAATACACCCATATGACGCACAAATGGACCGCGTTAAGCCCCTTTGTTAATACCAATATCTACACCCTCAATGTTAAATGCGCGGTTGTAAATATAAACGTGTGTGCTTAGGACATGAGAGTACGCCTGACTCTGTTTTCTAAAGATAGACCACACGAGAACATCGGTGGCCTCGGTCAACTAACATTCAAATGTTCGTTGAGTACCGAGCCACCGACCGAGCTAAAAGCCATCGGCATTTTGGCTAAGATCATAATGTAATATCTTATTCTCAAATAATGGTGTCCTTAAAGTGGACATAAATGGTGACTGATTTTTGCATAGCTGCTGTCCGATCTTAAGCCCTGACCAGACTATATTCAAATCTTAACAGAATAGATGAAAATTTAAGGGGTGCTTATGGGAAATTGGAAAATTCAAGGGGCCCTTTTTTTAATCGAAGATAAACGAATGGTTTTAGTAAAGAAATGGTAATCGTCGAGAAAGTATGGCCCATGACAAGAATGTCGGGGGTATTTATACAACAGCAGATGAAATTAGTGGTGGTGTTGGTGGTGGTTTAAGCGTGTTGGCAGGATCATTGCAGGGTTTCTTGCTTAGATACGAAGTTGATGAAGTCAGTTATTTTTGTTGACTGAAAATGGCCATACAGTATTTTAATTTTTAGATATTAAATACTGTAGTTCTAAATTCAAAAAGCCCGGGTGGCAATAAAACAAGAACATTCTACAGATGCATCAAAACTTAATGGACACTGATAAACCGACAGGTGGATAAATGGATTGACTTACAGACAATGCTAAGATAGATGCGAATAGTTAATTGAAAATTAAGTTGGTGATGTACCGTACTGTACTGTACTAAATGACTGAATTTTTTAGGGGGCGCTTATTCAAACGGGGCGCTTATTCGCGCGAGGTACGGTCTATAAAGTACATACAGTAGTAAAAGACAATGTTTTTCAGCTTTGTTTCTATAATGGTATATCACAAATAATAATAAGATGGTTACCGAAAATCCCTGATATTTCTGGCAAGGTACTAGTTTCTTAAATGTTCGCACCTCCTTCCCCTCCCTCCATCTTTCAAAACAGATCTGCGCCCTTCCCTGGATATGAAATTTAACTCCATCGAGTTGGCACCTGACTCAGAGTACCTTTGTCTTAGTGACTGCTGAGGCGAGGGTGCATAAATTTGTTGTTAGGATGTGATCTGGGTTTTTATACCCATGTTTTGTGATTTTTTTTTTTTTTTTGATAAAGAACGTTTTAAGCAGTGGCGGATTTTTTAATGGAAAAAAAAGAAAAACATATACAAATTTAGGTCTGAGAGTGTAATTTTGGCAATCTATACCTCAGCCCCAACTATGGTGGGGCTGAGGTGAGTGGTTCCTCAGTCTGTGAAAGTCCCTCCGTCACCTCTCTTTCGAATTTCTGGATCCGACACTTTTGATTTGTTATATACCGGTAACTATTGTTAGGCTTACTAATATTAGTTATGATGAGTTTATTGCAATTTTCACTTCATCCTCTCAAAACAGTCCTAAAAACGTTCAGAGTAGCGCTACTTCAACAGGGGATTCGCCCCCGCCATTTACTAATTACCTCGCATAACGGCTCCCCCTTTCAAAATCCTGGCTATGTCCCTGATATAGAATAGCCTGACTCTACTACTTGGCTTGCCCAGCTACTACTTGATTAGAGGCCCTGGCCTCTGAGGTTGTGTCTTCAGTTTCTGTGGTTATTTTTTATCGGATTGTCAATGCATAAGCCTACGTAGGCCTACGCAGGTACGACGATAGAGCCAGATAAACTTTTGTTTGCGATAATTTAATTACAATTTTCCCTGACGAAGCCTGATGAACTGTAAAGATAGCCAATATAGAGGCTTTTGACCTGAGTTCTTATTATTTTCCATCCACAACCTGATCCCTCTTTAGCTGAGTTGCTCATGCAGTTCGATTTTTCCCATTTATATTTCATACCCTCTGCGCAGTCGCTATTTGGTTCCTAAGAAGTTTTTGGCAACTGATACCCTCTTCGCAGACACTATTTGGTTCCTGAAAAGTATTTTGGTAACTGCGCATGCTCGACGTGGCTAGACAACGTTACTTACTCATTACACATGCTCACTGGCTGTCTAACATTTCCAAGCGCATGCTCACTGTGTTTTTATAGATACCGTAATTTGCGGACGTTCTTTGATAACTGCCGCATGCGCATTTGCTTAGTTCCCATTTATTCGTAGTAAATGCTACCGCTACCTACTGTTGCTTAATGACTGTTTCCTCTTGGTCGTAGCAGCCTAAAGGTGCGGCGCGAACATCCTAAAGGGAATGAAGGATTTGAGTATTAAATGTTTTTTTTTTTCGAGATGCATAAAGAATCAAGAACCAGAGCAAGCAACATTTCAGTCCGTAACTTTCGTAAATTTGCATTTTCTGTTTGCTCACTCAACGAACGGAACGCATTGCCCGAGGATAGTTTCTGCAGAAAGTATTAATTATTTTAAATCTGCTCTCACGAATGCCCACAAAAATCACCGTATTATATTTCAATTATACCGCAATATAACCTGACCTAATAATTATGATGTACGTATATGCTCTGCTTACGTTTCTACAATCAAGTAAAAAACGTTACATGACTAAATATGGTCATGATGACATCACATCATGACCATATATAGGCAATCATAACTATATATGGTCGTACAACAATTTTTATCAAAGAAACTTCAATAATCTGGACAGAAGTTTAGTGCAGTAGGCCCTACACATGCCTATTTTGGTACCACCTGTTTTTGATAAAACTTTGCTCTGTGATTAAAAAAAAACCCTTTCCCAACTGACCGTTAGCCGCTGTCCAAACATGTTGTTATCTACTGTACATATAGTATACCAACAAGGTATTCCTTGTGTAATAGTGGTCAGCTTTATCTGAACTACATTCCCAGGATTTAGATTTTCTTGCCGATATGCACAACAACATGTCAATATCCTGTAAATTGATTAGATGGGTTTAATAAACTGTATTAATATTTAGTCATAGGCCTATGCGGATTTATTTCAAGAATTGATTTTCAAAACAGGATGGTTTTAACCTTTGGCCAAGTCCCTATATGAGTTGGCAAATTTTATCAATGTGTTGGCAATTCAATTTTAAGGAACGCCTGCTAAAATAAATCGCTTCACGTGGCGCTAAGTGGTACTGATTTTGTGATGCCAGCGGGAGACAGGTTAACCCCCCCCCCACCTCGTCGTCCGAAGACACAAAAACTAATAATTTTGATTGCTTATTGTGGTCTATAGAAACACAATTAAGATACATAGTACAGTAGGACTAAATAGTTATTCTTAAACGACACGAGATGAATCGAATTTTCAACTGTATCATTGAAATTTTGAGACTTATCATTGTACAGAAAAATATATGGTGCTTGTGTAGGATACACTTACTGCACTTATTTGGCGTCTTTAATTTTAAAAAAAATAGAAACGATAACATTCTTTGAATTTGTTTAAATATGTCTTGGTAGCCGCATTATATTTTAATAAGTATACATTCTGAAACTATTACAGAACCCAACACTTCTTAGTTGCTCGGAATTCAGGAGTAGGCTTATATAGATAGACCAAGATGTCAGAGAAGACTACGCCAATTGTGGACTACAGTGATTTGGAGTTCAAACAAGGATCAGGAGTCCATATCTGGGATGAAGTCATCTACCCCTGGTTCGTTCACGCAGAGACCCTAGACGCCATGAGTGATTTCCAAGTTCGTCATGATGATGTTTACGTCATTTCATATCCTAAATCAGGTACCTTTCATTAATTTATCAACATAAATCGAAAGATATTAGGTATAAGTCCGCTGCACAATAGGGTATGGTTGACGAATTCGTTCACTGCTCCGTGTAAACGCCGTCAGTGGCATGTGACAGTACTCTTGTTGCAGTATCATCATGTTTGTATTATCACATAATTATAATCGGCATAATATTGTGAACTAATAAGTAAGGCTGTACCTGGACGGCTATTATCTTGCTCTTCAATTCTAGTGTAATAGGTTTAGATTCCGCAAACACATGATCCTTAGTTTACAGAACACTCCAAAGTTTATTCTATGATATAAATGCAAATTCAGTCATATAAGAATACAAATAAAGAAAAATAAATAATAAGATAATTTTGTGTTTGCTTGTGTAACGACTCAGGTACGACATGGACTCAGGAAATTGTCTCACTTATAAACAGCAATGGAGAGCCAGATTCTGTGAAAGACAAACACGTGGAAGAACGTGTGCCACATCTAGAGATGAGCACAGCTATCCCCGGGACCATTTTGTACCCACGCATTACCGCCATGCCAGACGACAAACCTAGGCTTATCAAAACTCACTTGCCTTATCAGCATATGCCAAAGGACTTTCTTGTAAAGAAACCAAAGGTAGGATGCATATGAAGTATAATGAGTGGGTGGGTAATTATAATAATAATTATTATTAACAAAAACAATATTTTGTTGGATAATAGTTGGTTGTTATTTCTATCAGCGTCATCGTCGTAGTTGTCCTCGTTGATTATTGACGATAATATATTCTTGTAAACTACCTTCCCATCCTACTCTGTGCAGTGGCGGCGCCAGGGACTACAAGGCGAGGGATCTATGGTTCATATGATATGTAGCCCACCACGGTTTTAGGAATACGCACATCTAGATGCACGCAAATTTTATTTCTGAATGTAATAATGCGTTTTTTAAGATTGTTTCGACGAAATGAATGTTTTTTTTTTCCCTGACAGGGGCCAGTGGAATCCCCGATTGGGGTGGGGGTCCTGTACCCCTGCGTAAAAGAAAATGTTTGACCATATTTAATTCATTGACAGATTGTCTACATTGCTCGCAACTACAAAGATGTGTCTGTGTCTGGATACAGTTTTCTGCGCATGTACAAAGCGTACGATGACGTAGGTTCTTGGAATGATTTTTGCCAAGGTGTTCTGCTGAAAGAACTGAGTGAGTAATTCTTGTCTTTCATATTACATGGTCATTATTTTTTCACTTCCAAACAGCAAGTACAGTCGAGTCACCAACAAACGTTTTTGAAGTGTTAATGAAACCTACCAACCGACCAATCAGAACGCGTTATTCATTTGCCATGCAGGCGCACATGTCCCGCAAATACGCGATTTTACGTACGATTCTGCTGTCGTTTTGTGGGACCTAAGCGGAACGGTCCATCACAGGAACGACAATTGTTACTTATTACTTGAATTGTATTTGAATTGTTCAAATCTGCCAAAGGTTATACTCAGATATACCGGTACCATATTTATTCGTATATACGCCCAGGGGCGTTTATTGTTGAGAAGGGCTTTTTAGGGCGTTTATTCGAGGAAGGCGTTTATTTATATATATAATTTTTTTTTTGTGTGTAAAATGGATACTTTCACTCAAATAAACGCCCCTTAATCTCACTGTAGATGTAGAACTACAACACATAATTTCGGAAAATAGACTTATTAATCCCAACCAGGAAGCGTTTATTCGAGGAAAAAATATATTCGAGAAGGGCGTTTATTTCAAATGAGGCTATAAAGAGGCGATTATTCGAGGGTGCGTTTATACAAAGCAGGTCGTTTATTAGAATAATTACCGTACATAGATATATAAGCATAATAAACAATTATCTGATTTTTTTTAAAGCACCGTATGGTCCATGGACTGCTCATGTGCTAGGCTGGTGGCAACACAGAAGGGATAAAAATGTTCTATTTTTGAAATATGAAGACTTAAAGAAGGTCAGTTTCACATCATTTAACGCTCAAGGGAGGATACCCCGTGTGGGGACGAGGTGCTATCTGAGGACGTTATTGTTATGTTCAAATGGAACGTACGTCTCTTGAAATCGATTTCACTTTTAGTTAGAGATGTTTTGCTGCTACTGAGAAGGGCGGGTGAGGAGGTGACCCTCCTCTTTTTGCTACTCCTGAATTCTCTACTATCATAACACAAACATAAAAAATAACACCCGCCTGTACAATACCTTTTTTTTGCAGGATTTGAGGGGTGGCGTTATACAGATCGCCGACTTCTTGGGAAAGCCATTGTCAGATGAGGCCATAGACAAAACGGTGGAGCATTGTAGCTTTAAGACCATGAGTCGAAACCCAATGACAAACTTTACAGGGTTAGACGCATTTGATCACAAGGTGTCGTCATTTATGAGGAAGGGTGAGTAGACAAATACAGGACAGTACGAAGGTCAGGCCCAGAGCCAGGATTACATGGGGGGGGGGGGTTGGAGTGGTAATTTCGTAGGCGTCAGGGGAACCTAGGCCAGGGGAAATCTCTCTTGTATGATATTGCGTTCCACGATAGTTTTGTAATACAGACGTAGACGACGTGTGCGCACCAGTGTTCATATAAGAAATTGAACGACATTGTTTTTATACTACAGGTGGTACAGGTGACTGGAAGAATTGGTATACCGTTGCACAAAACGAGGCGATGTCAAAACTCATAGAAGAGCGTATTCAGGGTAGCGGACTTGAGTTTGACTACGAGCCAGCGATTTGATCCAGGCCTGACGATAATTGACCATTCCAAAGTGTTAATCAAACTTGACAACTGACCAATCAGCACAGGGCCGTGTTTGTCCTACAAAAACATTCTTCCACGAACGCACCTTTTACACTGTCGCTTGTGCGCCTTAGCAACAATATCCAATGGAAAGATCCATTATGAAAGCCAACAAGTGCTACACCAGCCTGCTGTTTCATCATAGAAATGTTGAGCTACGTTTATAAATCATTTTCATATATGTAGTTCAATTATATCATGACTGACAACGTGTGCGGTCGTTCAGTGATCACGGGGAGGATCGAGATTTTCGTTTGCAGAGATGGGGGGAAATAACAAATTAAGGGTATGGTCCCCTCATCACGCGAGTGTGATCAATAAACTAATATTTTTTAAGCTAAAACTTACTAGGCTATTATTTCGCAGTGATAATAAACACGCATGTTGGTAAAATTTTAAATGCGAAGAGGGTTAATCTTGAATATTCCCCTCTAAATCCAGGCATCATGATTGGATTATAAACTAAGGTAAACCAAATCGTAGTTTAAACTGTGCATGCCCGCATTACGGTCAACAGACATAAACAAACACACACAGTTTTATTTCGATTGACCTTGGATACGGGCATGCGCAGTTCAAACTGCGAATTGGACTATATAATTACTAAAAGGGGAATAATCACATTTTTTCACATGTTGTTTTGTTTACCTGACCCAGGATATATAATATAAAACATGTATTTGTTACAATATTTGCCGATTTTTGTTATAATTAGGCAAAGTTGATTTTTCTTATATTGCTCGGTTAGACTAGATCGAAACGGACTTTGACCATCTACAGAAAGAATAATAAAACGGTTGTATGAAATACTGGTTATTCAATATTGTATTGTTTGTGTGCGTTTGACTAGTACATCATGAATTAATACATTTAGGTTCTGTAGGCTCCTATCATCAACGAAATTGATCATGACAGCGCACAAAGTTAAATCGCGAATACAAACAACCATAACAACAACAATCATATTAGAACAAGTTAAGGATACGAACTTTATTTACACACAAAAAAGATTTACCAAATTTACTAAGATGCAGCCTTGCCAAATATTTGAAG